TAGCCACCCCTCTTTTGGAGAAGCAAAAAACTGAAAGGAAACTGAAACATATTGTGAATATTATTACTGAAATAAAGGGAAACCCTCTGGACAGGTATCTCATTGTAATTTCTACTTTGTGACATTGCTAGTATTTCCTGATGTGACAGTTTTCAATCAGGTCTCAATTCTCAAATTGCCACATTTAGGGGAGATGCCCCATGGATTCTGCAATCCCAAGGAATCAGCCACCCGCCCCCCTCCCTGCCCTTGAAAAATCCTGGATCCGCCCCTGGATACGAAACATTTGATCAAAAATGTTTGCGAATGTAAGCGACTGAATAAAGCAGAAAAGCAGCAAAAAAATTTACTGGAGCTTCCAAAAACAAAAANCCTTGAAAAATCCTGGATCCGCCCCTGGTTAGGTACAAGGCATCAACATAAGACATTTCAATGGGACAGAGAGACATTATTAGATCAAAATGTCTTTTCCTAAGCTAAGAAATCAACGCGAACATAATGTGTGGGTGCAAAGTCTCAACATCTCTTTGAGCGCTCCACTAAATGATGCCCAGACAGCGATATATCTGTAGGCTTTTGTACATTATGCTAACATTTTTTCGAGCATTTTATTGAGGGAAAAGCATTAAGCATTATTCGAGCATTCTAGTGGCATTTTCCCGGAAAATTAGAAAATAGAAATAAAAAATTTTTTTTTTAACGAGAAAATGAAGACAAAAGCCACCCTAATACGGCTGAGTGGAGACTGAGGAGAGGTTAGCGGTAGTCAAATCAAATTAAAGGCGGCCATGTTTGTTTAGCCCCTTCGTCATACAAAAAAAAATGTATGTATGAGCATTAACCGAACATTTTAGTGACTTTTTGGGGGATGACCGAGCATTTTAGTGGGAAAAATGGAGCATTAAGGTGAAGCATTTTAGTACGGAAAAAAGCATAATGTACAAAAGCCTAGCGATATGACTTCAAACAATTCAGTACAACGGAAATGACATCTGTCGATAAGGTGACTGATTATTTTATACAACAACTGTTATTGGAAGTACTTCATATAATCATACAAGGAATATTTACTCATACGGTAACGTTCTTTATATGAATTCTTTGCGACAAAAATCAAAGGAAAGCAATTTACTGAGTATAGATGTCAAGATAAAGAAAACGACGTACGGGTTTACACAGCACTGATGATGTGAACTTCTAAACGTCCGTTAAGCCTGGTCCTTACTAGCGACGCAAGCGTAAGCATAAGCATAAGCATAAGCATAAGCATAAGCATAAGCGTAAGCGTAAGCGTAAGCGTAAGCATAAGCATAAGCATAAGCATAAGCATAAGCATAAGCGTAAGCATAAGCATAAGTATAAAAGAAACTTAGGGCTGGTTCACACTTTGACATAAGCATAGGTATAAGCATAAACATAAGCATAAGAAAAATATGTGTGAACCGGGGTTACATAAGCATAAGCATAAGCATAA